ATAATCCACCGTACTTCTCGCTTTACAAATCGTCCGTAGATGCGAGCTGCTCAGTCCGAGATATCTACTGGAAATTTTATATACGCTGCAATTTCAGCAACTTAAGGAAAAAAATTAAATTTCTAATATTCTATTACAATGCCCTGTTCATTCTTTTGATTTTTGAAAATGAGAATCAACAGCGGCCTTAAAGGTTTTGGTCTCTTTACTTGCATTTTATCATTCAACGTTAGTTTTAATTATCTCAGACAAACTCATGCAAAATGATCCTAAAGAGGCCTTTATGGAACAAGCTATAAGCAAAAGTGAGGAAACAAAAAGCAAGCAGCAGAAACAGCGACAAGTAAATTCCTCCAAAAAAGTTTCGCTGCCTACAGGCAGGCTGCTGCAGAGATATTTGCAAACTATATAAAGGGCGTACTGTCTCACCTGTCAATCTTCTGCTGATACAAAACAGGCACATCAGAGAGATTTTCCAGCTGTATTGGTGGAGGATAATAGCGAGCATCCGTGAACGTTATGTAAAATATAGCGCTGTTAAGTATCACCTCAACCCGAAGAAACCGCGGTGTTTCATCGGCATCTCTGCAATATGGGCAACTTGCTCACAGCACTTATATTGACTTTATAACTATATAAAAAACTATATAAAAAGGTTTCCCGGTTCACTAGAGGGAACATAATGCACGGAGCATTGCACAGTTCAGTTTGGTTAGAGTTAGCACTGAACGATCCAAGGATTTCGAGATTATGAATGTTCAAACAACAGCACATTTATGTTAATGCAGAAAAGGCAGAAATTGCAACCTCATAGTAACGTGAAAAGAGCTAATCAGGTCAATCCGGAATGGGCAACTCCAGTACTTCACGTCATCACGTTTCACGCACAGCATCCGATTGTCCCCAAAGTTCTCGTTCCACACCAAACTACACTTGCTCGCCACTTTGATATGCTGATCTGGCTGCTAAAACGAAATTACAGGTTAAAACAGGTCAAATTCAAAGAAGCATGCTAAATAATATCACAAACAGTTTACTCGCCAAAAAAACAACAGCGCATTTTTATGCATTTTGTGCTGCAACAATTGCACAAAACACACATTGTCGAGACCCCGTGTGT